GATTAGAGGAAGCCCGATTGCAGAGAGTTGCGCTGCCAGTAGCATGACAAATCCCACAGGCTTACCGGTTCTAAGTATGGAAGAAAGGAATATAATCCATATACTCCCCATATGACATTATATATATATATGTATGTATATTCATTCCCTGGTTCGCTACTAACCCCCAGTAAGTTGTAGTCCCCATGCACTCACTGCCCAGGCGGCCTCCAAGAACAGCGGCTGCTTCGGATTGAGCGATGCCTAGGTCGCATGGGAGTTGCTTACTGGCTCTTAGCAAGGAATATGGGAATATTTTATGCAGAGACTACATAGGTATTGCATTCCCGTATTCCCTACTAAGAACCTGCAAGTTCGGAGGTTTGGGCGCTAGGGCCGCTAGGACTTGAGGCCTTCCATGCGGGAATTTTGCAACTTACTCCCTGTGTTGTAATTCGTAAGAAGGACCCCACCAAACTGTAGAGTAGCGGCCCCCGCGCAGCGGATGACGTAGGCATTTAGTGCTAGTCGCGAAGCACCAGTTGGAGGGAGGTGGTTATAGTCCCCCTTAAGTAGATAGAATATGGGGTATATGGGGATCTTTTTGTAATATACCCAAAGCCATATTCTATCTACTTAAGGGGGACATAGTAATATCATGCATTGGATGGTCATCTTTCGGTTTCCTGGGGCCACCGTCGAGCTTTTTCTCACGAGTAAGCTCTCTAAAGCAGGTCCGGAAAAGCATCCAGGCCTTTCACCTTGAGTAGATTCCCTTGAAAATGCCCATCAACGCTGTTAAGTCGAATCTTTTCTGCTCCTCCACTAGCATCTTGAATTGAATGACCACTCACCTGCGCACCTAATTACACCTCAAAAAAACCGACTCTAACCCGAAACCCGACAACTGACACTTCTTCCAGGTAGGCTCCTGGCTAATAGGGACAAGGCCGACTCTCCACTCAGCAGGCGCTTCCTTGGGAGGTGAGGTGCTACATACTGAAGCGACCCCAAGATTCTTGCAGGATGCTGCATGTCTGGAGTCTAGAGTCTGTCAACAGGTTTGAAAAAACGTGTCTTGCGCCGATGTCCCTCGGCTTTGAGAGCAGGTTTGGGGAGAACGAAACAAGTAAGCCAGCCTGGCACATCACTAGCCGTGTCAAAAGGAGGTGAATCAGCTGGACCTACAACACTCTGACATTCAGGTTAAGTTCGCGAAGCTGATGTATAATGCGGCGAGAATTGGCAGCTAGACAGAACCATCCACACTGGGCATACTTCATACCTGCTGATGAGTGCTTACTGAGATGGTTGGCCATCAAGTAGAGTCTGTGAGATACTCCAAAGCTTGTCGGCGCGTTAAGATGCAAGCCTGTAAGAGGCACCATAATCTGGATCCTTCGGTTTTGTTGGAGATTCCTGGGGGATAGCAACTCCATGTCATGTGGTCTTGCACACGCAGGACCTGCCCTGTTTCTCGCAAGTGCCGCGAGCTCTGGAGACGTAGATGGGGAATGAAGAAGTCGATAACGCGAACAGTACCAAAATGCAGAGTCGCAACAAGACCAGACATCATACAGTAGCATTTAATAGGCAAGTTAGCCTTGACCTCCACTCCCGTCTCGGAACCGAAAGTGCTTGCCGCACGCATCCGGAACAAGCTGGTCCAGACCGACCATTCGGAAATCTCCCAGGGAATGCCCAGCAACTCATGTGCCCGGGACCCAGTTGTTCTTTGTCGGAACAAGGGCCATAATTACATCTCGCATAAAGTATGAGGAGCTTTCATACGAAGATCTGTGTGTTTCTTTAAAACCTTATGCTGTACCAAGAAACCCCTTGTTTTCTCACCTAAGGCCCGCAGAGATAAAGAAAGGCCAGAGTCACCTTAGGCTCTGCAGTGCCTGGCTAACAGTTCAATGAAACGCTTCACAGAAGATTTGAAGGATTTGTAGCGGAACCTTCCTCTTGGAGCAGAAGAGATGAGTTTGTACCTGTACCCCAGGGGTGATGTTCATGCCCATGGACCCTGGAGCTGCTGTGCCGTGCCCATCTGAGGGCATTCGCAAAATTCTACCAAAAATCATCTGTATTTTTGGGATGATGGTCATGGTCAACGTGAAGGTGAGACGCGGCTCCTACGTACCGAAGCTCGTAGTACCGCATACATGCATTCGCACACTGGGGCAAACGCAAGCGAGATGCAATCTCACCATGGCGGCAGGCTCTGCAAGGACCAAAAGTAAGAAAATGATTGGGCACGCACACACACCCTGCATAGGTCCACGTGCTGGATTTTCGGTACTGTTGGGGACTTTTTTTGCAACAGCAGTGTCCATGGATCTCGGCCGGTCACTACGAGTCGTTGTCGTAACTATTTCCTTGGGTGCTTAGTAAGCCGCAAAAGGTGTTGTGGGATGTAACGCAAGTGAGCAACCCTACATAAAGTGAATACGAGTAATGTAATATGACGCTAAGGTTCGTTTATAGTTTGGGGGTACTGATTTTCCATTGACCCATTCCCCCACAACACAAATCCCCTCTCACAACACTTAAGTTCACTAAACAAATCGCCAAGGTAGGGTATGGCACGAGAAAACATTGCTGAACCGCAACTTTCAAACCTAAAGCTAGGCCAAGGCTGGTACAACTTTTCCTGCCTTTGGCCTGCCATTACAACATCATTGCACTATGTCAAGGTAGACCTGCTACACCTTCGTAATGGTACAAGTCTCCCTCAAAGAAAGATTGTGGGTCTTGGAAAAGCACTGGGCAGTGCGAACGTCTAGCTGGATGTGTTACCACTCCGTATCTCTGCAGCTACAGTTGCATCAAAGTTACAAAAGGATTGCATAGAAAGCGTGGCTATCCTGCCCTGGTGTCCTGCCGTTAGCAATTAGTCGCCAACCGTATTCACGGTTTCGGACGGCATGCAACATTCCTCAACTTGTTGGAGCTAAACTGAACCGTCCAGCAAATCCAGTTGTGCACAAGGGTCTCGGTTGTGAGTACAATGACACATCATCAGGTCGCCCGGCTGAGGAGCACTCCCGAGAAGACAAGGTGTTTGAGTCTGAAGACCTGTGCTATTCAATAGCAATGGCTCTTGCTTCGGCATAGGCCAGTGTCAGTCAGCAATCCTACAGGACTGCTTGGCTACTGTCCAAAGACATCATCTAGACTTCCTGATTCGAGAAGCCATGAGCGTGCTCACTGAGTTCTGTAAGTCCCTTTGAAAGTCATGTCTCCGCCGGTTGCATTTATCTCATAGTGCTAGGTCTCGCATGCGGTCTCATAGCATGTCGATGTCTGCTCAGTTGAACCGGCACGTGCGCAGGCCCTTCTTGTGTCGTGCACCGATGGATTTGAGGGACGGAGAACTGCAAAATCAAATGCTTCGCCCATCAGAATCATTCTGCAGCATTGGCCATTGCCTGACCGAGACACGATCCCAAATGGCATGTTGCAAGGCTGAAGTGGACTTCCAAAAGTCAACCTCCCAACCAGACCACATGCTTGATCATGCCTGGCTGAGTTTTCACTTAAAACTTTACACTACATCCCATATTGCAAGAAGTTTCTTGGAATCCGAATAGCAAGCAAGTTACCACCCAGCAAGCTGCATTTCAGGTTGCCTACCATCAATTTCCATCCACCCTCAAGCCGGCTACACTCCCGGCCCCAAATGCCCCAAGCTACAAGAAAGCTTTTGAACTACAGAGATCTTGGCCTACTTCTTCCTGAAGCAGCCAGGTCCCGAGGCTAACAAAGAGCCTGCCTTACAGGTTTTATCATTGGTTCCCCTCCTACCCTCCGGTATAGTGCCCCCACCCCTAGGTTCCCCCTTAATTAAGCTTAACTAGCCCTAGTTATCCCTAAGCAACCTTAATTGATGGGGGAACCGGGGGGGGGGGTAGAGGGGAACCCATGGGTTTAGGAATTCAAGGTAACCCGATGGAATCACTCCTACCTCGTCCTGGTCTCTGCATAGCCATAGCCTTTCGCCCAAGCTCGATACCCCAGTAACAATGCCCTTTTCACGCATGCCGCCAATGTAGTACTATCATAGATCAAGGGGAATATCTATTAGAAGTGACTAGGGGTCACATTAGGGGGAGGTGTTGTTAAGACTCCAATATGATGCTCATTATCACTTCTCCTCGCTTTCAGTGGGTGGCAGATCACCTGGCTGGCCTGCCTTACGATTTGACTGCTCGACCCTTCTGGCTGTGCAGAAACACGCCCGCGAAGGTGACCTTGAGAACTGCCAAGATAGGGGCCTAATAGTTCGAGTAGGATTTGAAGGCGCGTTCAACGGAAATTAAGGCAACAGTCCTGCTTGCGTGACCGCAGTCCAGTATAGAAGCTAAGGTGTTCCCAGCTCAAGAAAGTGGAGTTGTGGGTGAGGGCGGGCGGCAAATACTCAATCACCTCCGTCACAAATTTGACCGCGTGACCAATATTGAACAAATTGATGAACATGGAATTTCTTAAAGTTGTGGCCACGCTCAAGGTGCTACACGCTTTGAGTGAATGAGACTCCTGTAACGGAAGACTTGTCTATGGCTGTAACTTGTAAACTATGGGGCTCATGGCTTCCTTTCGACCCTATAAATTTTACAAGCTATGGCAGGCGATGCTCCAAGCAATGATGACAGTTCAACACATCTAGCAGCATAAGTTGTAAACTTCAGCTTGCCAATCCTCCCAAGAATACATGGCCCCCAGCAACCTTACATCACACTGGGAGATGTGATCAGCACAGCTATCCGAGAGCAATTGTGCCTGCGACTGTGGGGTTACTTTGAAATCTATCCTGCGAACCGCGGCCATGCCAATCCCCGAACTCGTCATCATGTGAACCTCTTGTCAGCCATAGTACCAGCACTGAGGAACAAAAAAGAACACCTCCGCTGTGCTGACGACATCGTCACTGCCGCAGCAGCACAAGTAGCAATCGTGGCAACAGCGGAAGTGGAAGTGGTTGCACTTGTGGAGGTGGCGGTGGGGCACCAGTAGTGCTAATGCAACAGTAGTTGAGGTGGTGCTAGCCTGGTAGTGGACTGGTGTTTGGGCTGGTGGTAGTAGTAGTTGTTGTTGCTGGTAGCAGGAAGAAGGGTAGGCACTGTTTCCACAGGAACCATGGAAGCACGAAAACCTGTGCATATGGACTGCAATGAATCTTGCCAAGGTGCTACGAAGCCAAGGATCTGCAAGGCACCGACCGTGTTGCCAAAAATAAGCCTCGTGTAAGTCTTTGGGATACCAACAGCAATGAGCAAAATTGGCAGATGCTCACTGAATTACTTGCTGTCAGTGTACACCTCGTAGTAATTACAGTAGTATTAACGTGTGTTTGTAAGCAACTCTATTGCGGATGCAAAATCCTCGCCAAGCCTTCTCTCTTGCATGCCTATGCGCGGCATCGCGATGACTACCACAAAAGAGGTCCTGGAATACAGGCCCATACACTGGACGAGCAACACAGAAGTGAGGATGGTTGCCGGCGTCTTGGCATTTGCAATCACTGTTGCGCCCACTGGGCTCATGTGCTTGATGATAAGATAACCTGGGCAGACTGAAGGCTTGAAGAACTGGCAAAACAACGGATGCCCTCTCCACAAGAACTACGGCGGAGTCTTGTTTGCAAGAAACCTGTTGAGAATGCCTCGTTACTGCGAAGGAAAATCATGGGTACCTCTGATGTTGCTACCGGCATGCCACGGTGACGCCACCGTGAATTTTCCTACATTCCCCACTGATTGCCCTGAATGGATTCTCCAATCCGGAACCAATCGCCGATTTGTTGCGCTGGCGTCTGTGACTCACTCCAAAAGGACCCCCCCCCACCCGGGGAAGAAAGTCAATCCACACACAGGCTGGTGCAGCAACCTACAGTCCCTCGTTTCGTTCGCCTCATATTTGCTTCTGGGGGAATGAAATGATCTTTGGCTTGTTATCTTGGAGGTTGCGCTTGTGGACACACATGCGCAGACACCCCCTTTTGCTAAAAGCCTTTCAGCATCCATCTGCGTCCAGTCTTCTCTACATCGCTTTCTGCACCCTCGATCCCGATCAAAGAACTCCTGAACCCTGTAATGCGCAACAAGGCCCCAGCTGCATGGTCTAAACGTTCCTGGGGCGTGTGGCTCACCGCATGCCCAGACGCCCCAAAGCACAAAAATGTATCAACCAGAAATTAATGTTTAGGATTTTCCTGGATCTACTGATTAAAGGCCTACATAAACCTTTCAAAGGAGGCGGCTTCCCGGATCTCTGCCCCAAGCAGCTCGCAACGTTGAAGGCGCAGGCTAGACAGCAGGAGCTCAGCAAAGAGCCAGCCAAGTAGACCTGCTCCACCTGGGTCTTTTTGCATCTAAGGGAGACATTGCTTGGCTAGGTGTCTGGTAGGGCTTGGGGAGTCAAGGTTGAAACAGTCCAGTTCGCTGGAACGTCAGGTTTCGATGTCTTGTATTTGGGGCGTAGGGCCGTGTGGGGTCAAATCATCACAGTAAATCTTCAGCAGATGCGCGTCAGGCAACTGCCACGCAAGCCTCCCGGCCACAAATCTTTTTTTTGTCCCAAAGGCCTTCCTGGTCAGCTTATTGCTGCACAGCCGAAAATCAGGTCAGGTCACTAAGCCAAGCCTCAACCTCGCAGCTTTCTGCCCCACCGGGAATGGAAAAGAAAATGGAAACTACTACAATATAGTAGGGTATATATAGGGGTTATAAGTAATGGACAAGAAAATGCTATATTGGGATTATATAAGCGCCGGCTTTTATTCAGTACCTGGGCCTTATGCGGCATTTTTAATCCACGGCCCCTCATCTCGTTCGCCTTATACTTAAACTTGTGTTGTACCCTGACGAAATTACCCGATCTCATTCGCCATGTTGGAATATGTACTGGGCT